TCAAGAGCAGGAAGCTGGATCACTCCGGGAAGGCTATGTCAGGAGGTATGACCGGGAACGCCCCGGGGGGCCGAGGAGGACTTGTAACAAGGGACCCCAGAAGCTGATCAGTGGAAGGCCTTGTTGATAAGATTGAAACCACGGCTGGGGAACTAGAGCTTGATCTCAATTACAATACCAAGTCATCAAGCAGATGAGACGTACCTGGAGGGCAGACTCACCACCCCGATACCATAGATGACAGAGCACATTTTTTGGTCTCACCCCTCCCTTTTCTCTGTCCTCCTTTCTCTCAACTGATGCTGTATAATTCTAGCAATAAAAAGGCCAAGATCTTGCTCTTCAGCAGCATCCTGCATTACGTAGCCTGCTCCACGACACCCGTTTATCGGTGTGGTGTTGCCCAGTGCAACATTTCTGGAATAGCCCACAATGCTTTGGCCTTTGCCCATCTGCTTTCCTTCCTGAAATGCACCCAACCTTAGCATGGCAATTTCATACCCATCCCTCAAGTTTCATCTCAGGACTTCCTTCCCACATAAGACCATCCTTGACTGTCCTAGATGCATCTGTGCTGTGTAGTTCAGTACACGGGGTTGGAGCGTAACAGCTAGAAAATGGGGATCCACGTCTAGTTCCATCATTTAGTAGCTATGACCTTGGACCAGTTAGTTAACCTCCCTTTGTTGGTGCCTCATTGATAACATGGGACTGTAAACAGCACTGTCACTAGGGCGGGACTCGGAGGTACCAACCAGTACCACTCACACACTTAGTGTGAGTTCAATGTATAGTGCTCACACTGTGACCCTGGGCACTGGTTATGTTTTCCACATTAGCTCTAATACCTTAATCACAGCCATTGTTGGCGACAGTGTGACTTCTGGCACGTTTCTCCCTTTAGATTAGAAACAGTTGGAAGGCAGGAACCCTGTTTTCCTTTCTCCATTTCCAGCCTAAAATAGTGCATGGCATTCAAATACTTGGCATAAAATTCAGGGGTCCCAAGAAGAAAGGAATGGGAGCAGTTCAGGGCCTGGAAGAGGAGTGCAGGCAGAGGGTGGGAAGGAAATAAGGACTGGAATCACCTGGAGGGACAGACTGTTTCTGCAACACTGTACCCCCGGTGCCTGGATCCCCATCTCAGGAGGCAATAAATATGTGTTGAAGGAGGACAGTGGAGGTATAAATCCGGAGTGGAACAGACATCAAGTTCACCTGAACACCCAAATGTAAGTGATCAAGTGCTATCATATGCCGCCGATATCCGCTGCTTTGCAAACCATGGAGGCATCCTCCCTTCAGAGTGACCAAACTTCTATTTAAGGGCTGAGACCTAGGAAGGTGCGTTCTTTTACGTGTCAGTTTTCTATGCCCTTCAGAGTCTGAGATTTGGCTCAGTGAGAATACAATTTAAAATATGGGAAATCTATTTGTACCTGGAACGTAATTTAAGAGATTTTTGAAATTTTGTATTTTTTTTCTCACCCCTTAACCCCCATGTCCCACAAACACAGAATACTTGAAACAAGAACTCAGGACACCAAGGACTTAATCTGAAATATTACTTCCTAGAAAATGGCAAAAATTAAGCGTTGTGAAGTGTTTAGGATGCAAGGTTGGGGTAACCTTATGGAGGGGCTGTGTTTTGCTTAGGTATCTCTTTAAAAATGCAAATTGCTAGAAAATAAGTTTTCAAATCTGTAAAGCTTGTTCCCCATTTATTTTTTGTTGTGACTCAGAAATACAAGATATGAAAATTAGGTTACAATTCTGCCACAAAAGCATCTAAAGTAGCCAACACAAGTTCTGATATTTATCAAAATAGCCATGTGCACGCGCAACAATTTAAAAATGTCATTAGAACTGTCATATCAGTCAAGGGTAAAATATAATAGCTATTATCTCCTCTTAAAGTATCAAATCTGTCGTCACGATGTTGAACTAAATCTGAACAGCAAGATTCAGTCCAGAAAATGGCAGTCTGTGGTTAGCGGGTACTTTATAAAGCTGAGTTACTAGAATTAAAGGAAGTGAGAGGGATATAAAGCATCTTACGTCAAAAAGCATGAATATTTAAAAGTGTCCTCAATTCAGTAAGACATGTTTAAATTAGAACATGATGTAATAAAGTTAAATCTGCTGATGATATAATTCAATAAAAAATTATAATGGTATTGCCTTCCTTTAGAAAGACAAAGACATACAATTCTTTGAATTGAAGCAACTATTACCAGAATGCTTTTGTCATCTAAATATTAGAAACAGTCTCTCAAAGTTCCACTTCTAAGAATCAACACTACATGGTTTCCCAGATCCAGATAAAGATTTTTAACCAAACACATGTACATATGAATGGAAAGAGGTCATCATTAACAGCATTTTAAATTTCTTCTCTTTTCAGCTATAAAAATCAAATTAAAAAACACAGAAAAGAACAATCCCTTTGACTTTATTTACGTTAAAAAAAAATGAGGATAGTGTTTTTGCCTTTTTAAATAATGAAGGGTTCTTGAGCATATTTTGGAATTTCTATGGCTGAATGACAGTAAACATTTTTAAATAAATAACCTCAGAAACACATAAGAAAATGGTACAACCAAACCTAGCAGAGGCAGGCACTTCAAGACTGAAACTCGCATAATAAGCTGTTGCTGGTCACTTAGAGAGCCAACATTTCAACAGAATAATAATTAAGCTCTTACTGCCATAGGTAATGTTCACCTACTTTAGGGCATAGTAGAAAGTGCTAGATCAATGAAATCCCTTTAAAAAAAAAAAAAAAAAAGGCCAGCATCTTCCCTAATAATCTAACTTGGGGCTTTTATTTTTTCTTCCTCTGAGCAGAAAAACAATTCAGCATAGAAAATGTTGTATAGGAATTGAGCCCCCGAGATATAAAACAGAATCTGCCTTGTATTAGTTCATGTTCGGGATGAAGTGAGATCGTTACATGAAGCTGCTTAAATGTCCACAACCCTCTACCCAAAACTCTGCAGGACAGATGTGTTTTAGAATTCACCACCGCTGAGCTTTTAAAAAACTAACATGGGGCATAAGTTGCATATTACAAAACAGCTGCAGTCTGGGGGCAATCCTATAACCAAACCCATTGGAAGTCAGCTCTTCAGGCAAAACCGATCAACTACCCATGGAGTGGCATAAAGAGAAACCCTAATAACCTCACATTTGTGCAAGTTAGGTTTTCTTGCCAAATGAACATGGTGCCAAATTAGAAAGAAAAAAACCCCTCAGTTTTCATATTTTGCAGGATAAGGGACCAGGGCTCTGACATCCCTGACAAGCCCGTCCATTTGCTCAGGCAGTAGATTACCTGGAGGTGGCAGCACTATCAGAAGGTTCCTTGAGAAATGAGCCTGGAGAAGGCCACCGGGAAGAGTCCTATTAAAGGAGATGCCATCTTGGACTCATTTTCATACAGACTAGCAGTAGCCGGCGCCAACATTCAAGCAACGCTTATGAGGAAAGAATAAGATTGGGAAACATCCAGATAATGATGTAACTGTTTTCTGCAACTTAGGGAACTGCAGCCATCACTCCGTGTTGGAGACTGAGACCCCGCGTGGCCAGCAAATGGAGACGAAAGATGCAAGAGACCACGGTGGCATCAACCCATCACATACACTGCCACGAGGTCACTTCGATATGAAGGAACGGCTTCTTGTCTGTTTTTAAAATATGCCGCTCTCAGATCTTGATTAAAGACACCAGGGATTTAAAATCATGAGACACCTTGCTTCTTAAAAATGAAGTCATTTTTAAAGTGAAGAGGTGCAAAGTCTCAAGAGCAAAATGGTTTGGTATCGTTTCTAGGTCTCAGTCTTTTGCAGAATTTTTTTAAACAATAAAAAAGCCCCCTTTTCAAAAGTAGTGTTTTTTTTTTTCTCACCAAAGTGAGCTGGAATGTGCTCCTGTGTCTGGGGGGGTGAGGAAAGGGAGGGTTAAGATAAGGGTGACCGTCCTGAGGCCGTGGGGCACACAGGACAGACGAGAGGACAAAGCAGGTGACAGTGGCTAATGCTCCCGGTAGGCACTTACTGTGGAACCCCACTAACCAAACCACACCCTGTAATCTGGAAACATTTGTGGGGCCAAGAGGACTTCCCCAGCTGTGCTGGGGCTGCAGCGCCCAGAGGATGTCTCGGGTAGGTGGGGGTGTCACAGAAAGAACGGCCAGGGTGGGGGAGTGACCATTTCATTTCAGAAAATGAGCATCTTCAAAATTGACCTGGTCGCCCTACATTTTTCTCACTGAGTAAAATTTAAATAGACTCGTCAACCTTTCCTAAAAGCTACATATATGCTACGAGAAGGTCACACTTTAAAGTTTTTCATTTGTTTAATTCATTCGTGAATTTAAAAAGTCAAAAAAGCAGAATGGGTATTATTTTCTTTTTTCTTTTCTTTTCTTTTTTTTTTTTTACAAAAATATCATAGCAGATAAGCAAAACTAGAATGGAAGAGACGGGGGAAAAAAAACTGGAGATGCCATCAGGGAATGCAGGAGCCTAGCTCGTCATGGCCATGGAAGAAATTGTAAACTTTTAAGCTTCTAAGATTTTATTTCTCTTCAGAAAACATTTTCGGAGGCTGCCTTCCCCCGCGGATGGAAAATAAAAAGTGCCCTAGCGTTTGTGTCTAGAGCAGACAAGAAAGCATTATTCTCTTTCCTCCTGGTGAAGACGTCACTCCCTCCCTCCACGGCTTGCCGCTCTCATCCCCCGGGGAGTTTCATGGGATCAAAGAGAGAGAGAAGACAGGAGGGCCCACCCGAGCCAGGGACATTATTGTGCATTCAGGCTCACTGGTATTGTATTAAACTCATCTGGAATAAAATACACCATGTTTTGTTTTGTTTAAAAAAAAAAAAAAAGCCCAGAAACCCATCAACTGCCTTTCATGGAATGTTAAAAAAAAAAAAAATCCTCAAAACCTCGGATGAGTCATAAAGTGCATTTCTGCACTTGATCTCTGGGGGGGGGGGGGGGGGGTTGTGATATACAGGAATAAATAGCAAAAATCTAAATGACAACTCTGGAATTCTGCTCTTCACCCCGCGCACAAACCATCCTCACGTCTCCGGCTCAGAGCCGAGGACCCCGCGCGCCGTCCGCGTTTGCATAGTGTTAGTGACAGTGTCTGGGAAGGAGCCCCACCCCGCTCGCAGCCAGGTCTCTGCAGAGACTGGTCCCATCTCACGTATTCACAAGTATCACATAAGTGTCTGTAGGTCAAAAAAACTGGGTCCCAGGTAGCAGCAAGCTGTTCAACTTATTTTGACACAGTCTTTCTCCAAGGGATAAGAATTAGGCCGTTTTGTCTGCAATTTCGGATTTTGCTCTCTGCATCATGCAGCGACGGACTATGCTGTCGAAGCTTCCCAGGTAAAACAGGGCGATGGTTCGGAAGAGGCCCATGGTGACCACCTGCAAGACAGACAGACCTTTGAGCTCATGCACCAGCACAATAGTTCGTGTCAAGGGATTTTCGATATGTCTCTCTCTAACAAACAGCTTCTGAGGCAAACTGCTGATCAGCTCTGACGACAAGCATAAGGGAAACTGTCACCATTAACACCGACTCGGAACCTGTTGCTCTGTCCCTCACACACAGAGACCAGACGGGAGGCCGGGGGTCAGTCTGATTCATCGATTCAAATGACACAAGACAGATACTCTTTTTTTTTTTTTTTCCTGTGTAGATGAACTGGGGTGCAGGCCAGAGGTGCGGAGAGCAAGAGGATCCACCAGAGACAGAGTGGGGAGCAGAACAGGCAGATCCACTGAGATACGCTGCTGAGGGGAGCAGCGGGCAAAACAGGAGAGGTCTGCTGCACCCTATGGGGTCAGCTCCCTGGCTGGGGACTGAACCCAGGCCATAGTGGTGATAACGCTGGGACTCAATCCCCAGGTCACCAGGGAGGCCCTGAAGACAGGTATTCATAAGAGACAGGGACACAGCAGGGGAGAAGATGTGCTCCAGCATCTCGAGTACCAAACACCAGTCAAGGCTCTTGGTTTAAAATGAACGTGATCAGATCCTGTAACAGGTGCTAAGAACATGGACGGTCCCGACTCAGATGGTTCGACTGAATGATGTTTTGACTTTACAAGGTGCAAGAGGGACGCTCATTCAGGGGGAACTGAACTTCAGGTTTGGAATGTTGATCATTTCCCAGGCCGACCTGCCCCAGGGGAGGAGGAGCTGGGGCCAGCCGCGCACCAGACCAGGAAGCCGGTTCTGGCGGGAGGTCGGGCGGCTCAGGAGGAACTCCCTGCAGAAGGTGAAGCTGACGGTGTCTGGTATCTCTGAGCAGGGACGAAGACAGTCGTCATTAATAATACATACAATAGGTCGATAATAGTTTCAGGGAGGATAAGAGGGTGCACGAGGAGGAAATATTAATTACGTGTATTACCTCGTTTGGCGGAACAGCACTGAAAGAGCCGTATAATGATCCGCTCGGCTGTGGACCTCGCCCAAACCGCAAGACAACTAAGGAGGAAGGGAGCGTGGAGGGCAGGCGGGAGGAGGGGCAGGAGAGCTGAACCTGCATCTTTCACAGGCGCTGTCATCGCCTGATCCCCAACCCAGCAGAGCCAGCAAAGAGCCTTCTCAGCGTTTCATCCGGCGACGGGAGGCAGGCAGGGGAAACGCTGAGGGCAGAGTGTGCGGCTGCTTCCGAGCAGAGCAGGTGGGACGGGAGGTGGCGCGTGAGGCTGCTGTTTGTGACAACGAGCCTTGGAAACAACCTGATTCTCTGAAACGTGTGCAAGGAGAACTCTGAGAACTGCAAAAGCCTAAGGGAAGGTGGAAAAGACGAAACTCTGGAGGCTGCAGAGAGCTGGGTAACCACCCGCCAGGGCGCGGCAGGAGGCAGGGAGGGATGAACAGCCGAGCACAGGTGAATTTGGGCGCGGTGGACATTCTGGGGCACACAGTACAAGTGGGTACATGTCGCCGCACTTTTGTCTAAACCCACTGGATGGATGACCACCACCAAGGTGGTCTAACATAAGCCACGACCTCAGGGAATAGCGTGTCTCCACTGGCTCTTCAGCAGTGACAACCGGCCATGAGTAGGCAGCGTGATAACAAGAAGTGGGGGAGGTCACACATTGGGGGGACGCCCGTAACCCTAAAGCCACTTAAAAAGAAAAACAAAAGGGGGGGACCTCAAGAGAAAGCAATTATAATGCAGCTTAATGAAGTGCCGACACAGGGTTAGTACAAGGCATTTTACTAACTAATTTTTTAATGCAGTCTTGGCATTTTCTGGAAAAAGCAACACGGAAGGTGAGAGCTATAGGAAGATCAGAAATTGGTCAGAGCGACGCCGGGGCTGGAGGGACACCCATAGCTACAGAGGGAGAGGAGGCGCCCAGGGGCCGAGGGATGCCTGAGCCGGCTTACCTGCTGGAGCCCTTCAGTGATAGAAGTTACTGGAGCCATCCCACAGGTCAGAGCCGAGAGCATGTACCCATCTGAGCCAATAGAACTGTTGAAATTTCCTTGCTGAATAGAAGGAAGAGAAAAGAAAGAGGTAAAGGCAATAATGTGGCGTCAAGTCAACACCCCAGTGAGCGCAGGAGTTTTAGGGGGAACAGGGCTGCAGGGCTCACCAGCTGGCACGGCCCTGGCAGACGGGCTGAACGGCCGGAGGGACCAGGCTCTAAATGTGGGTCCACAAACCCTGGGGGTCCAGAGGCCATTTCAGGTGGTCCAATCTGCTCCTAAGACTAGGAACTATTATTGGTTTTCAGGAGCCTCCAACTTAACAGGGGATCAAGAGCATCCAAGGGAAGAAAAGTAAAATCAAGTATAAGGTGCAACGCATCTGAGGGACGTAACACTGGTCTTTATGTTTGGGAATCAGTCCTGGGACAAATGTCTTTTCAGAAACATGGTGCTACAAGCACGCACCCCGAAAACAAAACAAGGATTGTACTTACTATGGCATCTTTCACAATTTGTTTGGCCACCTGTTCTGGTTTGCAAACAGACGTGGTCTCAGAAATAAGACGAGTCTCCAAAGGCTAAAAGTGGGAAAACATGGACTTATCGGTACCATCATTGATTGTCACATTTAGAAATAAGTAACTCTGACAGCCCCCTCTCGGTTATAAGCAATTCCAGTTTCCATCTTTGAGAAGATGCCTATTTTAGAATCCACCTGGAGTCTAAGTTCATGTCTACCTGGTGACTGTATAAAATGCAGCCCAGCCGCTAACGTGAGGGGCCCTGGCCACTCTGCAGGACGTGGTCCTCCATGGTCTTAGCTCCAGGGAGGCCCAGAGGGCTGGAGTGAGAACACCACACCACCAGCTGAATCCTTGGTGCTGGAGTCACCTGCCTGGGGGTGCTCGCAGACCCCACAGCCTGCCCACACCTGCTGAGCAGGTGCTCTTATGGCCAGGATCTCCAAAGGGGCCTGCAGAGGCCAGGAGAGAGAGAAGGAAGAGGAGACACCAAGAGGGCCCCGGCCCGGCTCCGTGTCTGCTGCAGGCCAAAGCGTCAGACCCCAAATCTGGGCCTTTGTTCTTCAAAAGTTGTCCAAGGTCCCTCTCGGTGGTTACTTAGCTCAAAACGCCTCCCCTGAATGCTGAACTGGCAATAATTTCTCTCTCCCTTCTCTGAACATCCCTGCCTGTCTGCTTATTTGCATTTTATTTGCGCATTTGCTATTTTTTTCTTTTTTCTTTTTTTGCTATTTGCATTTTACTCCTAATGTCTTGGCGGGTGGGGTCTTTCTCCATTTACTTTTGCATCTTCTTGCTGGTGATGTGCACACATGTGCCCCAAAATTCCTGAAGACGGGGTTTCAATGAGAAGTTTCAAAATGAAAGTCTTAAACTGCACAAAACCATACATTTGATTCACCATGTAGGCGTGAAGAAATTAAATGAAATAAAAACCAGAATGTGCTTTCTTAAAATAGAAAAGCAGCACACTTCATAAAAATCAGACCGCTCTTGATGAACCTGAATTAAGAGAAAGGCCCTCTTGAAGGTGCCACCACCTAAGTCTTCCCGAACACCAGCTGGCGCAACGGGACGGGGCCAGACACGCAGCAGACTCAAAAGCCCGTGTGCGCCCCCTATGTGGCTCCCAGACCAAGGCCACCTTCTGTTTACTGGAAGAGTCTCCCACACTTGACTGGAGGGGAAAAACCCAACTCAACAACAGAATGCAGTCCTCGCAGGGAAATCACCCCCTTTGTCAGCTTTGGCTTCTAACTAAAGGACAGCTTAGCAAATGTCATGAGTCTGTGTACCAGATCCCTGCTTACTCCAAGGCAGGACATTTGGCTTAAATTTATTTCTTTGAGACAGCAGTAATTTTAAAAGCGGTCCAGTCAAAGTAAAACAGGAAGGAGGTAAAACTTCCAAGTCACACACATCTCTCTGCAAGCATACAGCCCAGAGCGAATGAAGTCCTGATTCTTACATCACTGTGATTCACAATTATGAAGCAATACTGTCAGAACAAAAGCAATCAAAGCCCGTGCTGGGGGGAGCAAGTTCTGACCCATTCCTTTCTCCCCCACTTCTGTGTCCGTTTGCTCAGACACTACTTGTGACAAGGTAGAAAGGGCCCCTGTGAACAAAGTGCAAAGCTTGTTGGGCTCCGGATGACTGACAACCCCCCCGACATGTAATGTGAAGGTCCAGTGGTGACAAGACCAGGGAGAAAAGGGAAGCCACAGAAGGGGATAGTGAGCAACCGGGCAGTGCTACTGGAGACACAGAGGGCCAGGGGTGTCCTGCGGCGATGTCCAGGCAGAGATGGAAACATGAGCTCGAGGAGCAGAAGGGACGAGACTGAGCAGAAGACATGTGGGCAGGTGGCCACAGGGGACCTTGGACACCTCCAGATGCTGTTCTAAGCCACTTTCTTTGCTTTTTGTTTTTTACTGTCATTTTGAAACTCCTAATTAAGGAATTTTTGAGCACATGTGTGTATGTCACCAGCAAAAAGATGTGAAAGTAAGTGAAAATCTTAGGAAATACAATGCAAATAGCAAAACAGTAGTATTTCCCACAGCAGGACACACAGCCACTACCAATTCGTTTTCAATTAGTTAAAACCGAACATAATTTAATATTCCATGTCTCAGTCCCACTAGCCAGGTTTCCAATGTGGTCACCACATTGGAGAGTACAGAGACAGAATGTTGCTTTCACTCCAGAACATTCTATTGCACTGGTTTTGGGTCTATGGGGGTGTTTTTGTTTTACACAAAAGGGTTTTGACCAGGCAGGTGACATGATCCAACTTAGGCTTTTAAAGGTTCACTAGCTACTTTAGGAAGAAGAGACCCCTGAGGCTGTAAACAAAAGCAGGTCATTTGAAGGCTTCAGTGGTGGTTCAGGTAAAAATACCAGTGACTCTTGCCAGGAGGGTGGTAGTAACACGTGCAGTTAAAGAAATGAAAGGCAGGACTGGAAATGTGTTCTGAGATGGAGCCAGGAAGATCTATAGGTCAGCTGGGTGTGTGGTGTGAGGGATGGGATCAGGACCAGCCTTCAAGGCCTGCTGTCTGGGGTGCCCCTTAAACCACCCAGTGGAGACAATCAACCAGTAGCCAGGTACTTCAGTTCAAGGGAGAGAATGCTATTTTTCAAGAATATCATGGCACTAATTAAAAACTGTACCCTCGATCAGAAAAAAAAAAACCCTAATTAATTAAATAAGGTTTCAATGATAGTAGCAAAAAGCATATTCTTTGAAAATAGGGCTGCATTCCCCAAGATTTCAAATGAATGTTCCAGAAAGTTTAGAGGCCTCCAGTTAGTACACAAATTGACAGGAACTCGGTTGCTGACTTATGAAAAATAAGATGGGCTGGCAGCTGGAAAGACAAATTCAGAAGAGGGGTTCACCATACAGAGACTCAAAATGGGGTGCAGAGGAATGCTCACCTTTGTCTTGTTTTCTTCTGCAAAACCAGGGGTGTCGGTGTCTGGCGGGTAGGCAACTGTGATGTAGACATTATATGGCTTCACCTGCAGTGCAGAAAGGACACGCGCCGCTTCAGTGACAGAGGCAATCCTGCACCCTCCCTTACCAACTTGCACTGGCGGCTGGCATCCCTCATAGACACTGGCCTGGTTTTCTCAAGCGGTAACGAGGCCAATGTGAACCGCCACTGACTGAGTCGGCAAACTCCTGCCCCAGAAGATTATTTAGAAGAAGGCAACAAAGTTCAGCCAGCCTCCACTCCAGAAAACAGCTGACCCCAGGAATGAAATCCCCCTCCTGTGTTTCTCCCACTGCCACTGGCCGGGCGGAGACCCTGGGAGCTGTCCAGGAGGAAAGCAGACAGGGCTTAGGGCCTTCTGTCTCTTTTCCCACCCACTGTGCCCCAGTCGGGTGTTCAGGGCAAAGGGAGGGCCGCCTCTCCACCCTCAGACCATGCATCAAGCTTTTCTGATGATTTTAGCCACGAGTATTGAGATCACCCAACCCCTGCCCCCGCCCTGGCTGTGCCTCCCCAAACCCAGGCACAGAATTACACCTTGCACCAAGATGTCTGCCTATTCTGCAATTCCTTATGGAGCCAATGCCATAGGGAGTCAGGAGAGATTCCTTCTGCAGAACCCACAAACAGGATTCTGCCCCTGGGCCGGAACCCCCAATCACACCACCAGGGAAGCACATCCCCTGCAGACAAACTCAATCCTTATTTACATGGGAAAACTGGCCCCCACCCCCTGCCCCTGCTTCTCTTCACATCTCCCTCCCCTCTCTGGAACTCCACCTGCTTCTCCAAGTGTAAGAACAGGTGCTGAGACCTGTTTACCTCACCACCAGGCCCCACACTTAACTGTCCTGCCATAAACACACCCCCAAGAATTCCATAAGAGTCACCTGCTGATCAACCAAGACACACCACCCTTCCCACGGTCCCCATGTTGGAGCGGCTCTGCTCCCTGCTCTAATCCTGCCCTGATTGCTCACGACACTAAACAGTTGGAAACAACGTAAATGCCCCAAACAGACAAATGGATCAAGAAGACGTGGTATGTTTGCATGGTGGAATATAACTCAGCAATCAAAAAAGATAAAGTCATGCCATTTGTGGCCACATGGATGGCGCTGGGAGGGACTAAGTGAAAGAAGTGAGAAGGAAGAAGAAAAATATCAGATGGTCTCACTTACAGGGGGAATATAGGGAAGCCAAAGGATCACGAAAAAGACAAAACTTGCAGGCAAACTGTAGCTGTGAGGCATTCAGCAGAGGAGGGAGAGCGAGAGGTGTCAAAACAGAGGAGAGACAAGCACAAAATGGTCACAGGTGTTAGGGTGATGGCAAAATTCTGGGGACTACACATGAGGGGAGAAATCAAACACTGTCCAAAAATAAACAATTAAAAAAAAGATTAAAAGCATTATAATTCCTTTTTTAAAAACCCAGGTGTGGACCTGTACCCCCAAATCATATACAGAGTTATAGACCAACGTTACCTCAATTAAAAAAGAAAATACAAGGGGGGAGGGTAAAAAAAAAATACAATAAGATAAGGGAATAAAATCTCTGCCATGACTTTGGTTGGCTATTGGCCTCCTGTTCAGACTCCATGAAGAAGTCCTGGGAGAGGGAAGTGACAGGCAGTGGGGGCACCAAGAGCCGGCAGAGGACTCCTGCTCCCTCACCCACAGCCAGAGTGGCCTGGGCACCCTCGATGACAGCCTTCTCTCCCCAATCCCTCTGGGATGAGCAATTGTGCCCGGGGGGAGGGGTGTCAGAGGCACCTGAGCAGAAGTTCCTGGAAGGTGCACTGCTGTTTGGGGCTGGCGTGAGAGCTCCCCAACTTGGCACCTACGGGCATGTAGCTTCAAGGTCCAGCTCTGCTCATGAACAGCCGGGACTGGGGCCAGGGAGGCTGATGAGCAAGCACTTTCTCTTCCACTTGCTTTTGAGATGGTAACTTTAAAAACTGACCCCCCACCCCCCGACCCCGGCCTGCGCAGCGGTTGAGCGCTGGGTTGCGAAGCTGCCCGCAGCCTCTGTAGCTGGTTCGATCCCCGGCTGCCGGTGAGGGTCCCACATGGCGCGCAGACCTCTCCTGCCGCCTGCTGCTCCCCTCAGCAGTGTACTTCGGTCCTTCTGCCTGCTCTGCTCCCAGCTCTGGCTCTGGTGAATTCTCTCACCCTCCCGCGCTTCTGACTGTACCCAGTGTTTGTATAAATAAATAAATAAATCTTTTAAAAAAGAAACCATCAAAAAAAAAAAAAAAACAGTTCCCCCCATAGGCCTGCCCTCTGTTGTGCAGAGACCCGAGGAAAACAGCAGCAAGAAAAGCCTAAGAGGCCGGCCAGGGGAGGCCTGAGCAGACTCCTCAGACACGGTGGTTTCTGTGCCGCGCCCCTATCCCAGGTCCCCATTAAGTGAGGACTCAGAACAATCTTCTCCTGGGCTGAGAACACAGGCGGTTGGGGTTGGGGTTGGGGGAAACCAGGCTGGGAGCCTCTGTGCAATCATGAACCCAAATAATCATCTCAGCCTATGTTCAGGTGGCCCCAGGTGAGCAGCCTGACCGTCTCAGCTGTTCATCCCAAGACACTTACCCAGGGACTGCGTGTGCCAGTACCCTCCCAAGAATAAAGCAGAAGGAAGTGAACTAAACAGAATCCCCGCCGTCCCGAAGCTTAAGGTCTTTGGAAACTCTTGGCCAAATAATTTGCTGCGATCTAAATACACTAAACTATCTTCACCTTCCTTTAAGCTACCGATCCCCTAACGCCAGAAGAGGAAGCGAGGTTGGCTTCGCCTGTCCTCGCCCAAGACAACGCCGGCTTCCAGCCAGCCCCACTCTCCCGGGGCCATGCGACCCAGGGCTTCCTGCCCTGCCTGCCCCTCGGTGGCCCTGTGGGGCCCATTCTCTGCCCACTCCCTCCCGGTGTCCTCTCCGTCATCTGGCTCGCCCTCAATCAGGAAGATGACCACTGGCTTATGAACTGATCTGTCATCAAAATAACCCCAAGGTAGATGTGTCTTCCTCACCCACTGGACGGGAGGGGGCTGGAGAGCTCAGAGCCGGAGACAGAAGGCTCCCGAATGCAAGCTCTTTCAGACCAAGCTGGGAAAGATGGAGGGGGCGCGGGATCAGGACTGGAGGGGTAGAAAGGAGACCACCGAGTTTTCTTTTGTCTGCGCTACCAAATCTTCAGCAACCACCCACCTCAAAAGTCCACTGTCCAAAATGATTAACTTTAAAATTCTTTTGATGATATAGTTGCACCTAAAAAGCCTCAGCTGAAAAAAAAATGCCAACAAAGCATCCCTTCAAAGTTACTCATTGTACATAACCCGCTTCTAGGGTCCTGCTTGTAGTGCGGGGGCACTGGGTGGGGAAGACAGGAAGACTTAAGAGCTAATTAAACCGAAAAGGATTACGAAAGGGACTTAGCTCTGGAGCAATTCTATTAGCGACTCCATTGTGAAAACACAATCGCTTTGCCCAAACAGACTGGCTTCCCCGGGCTTCAGAAACACAACACCCTCAGCTTGGAGGGAAACAAGGACTGTCGCTTCTACCAAGAACACACTCGACTTTGGTTATTGAATTTACTTGCCCCAAAACCTATTTTTCATGGTTCTTGTTCATTTTAGTTGTTGCTTACAGGGGGACATTTTTAATGGCTGCCGAGCTTGGAGCCACGTCTGGCCGGCCCGGGCTTCCTGCGGCTGCAAATCACCTCGTGACCAGGAGGCTTCGGGGCTGTCTGCACCGGCAGCGCCTTCCCTCCCCTTCTCTGTTAACATCTCTGGTGACCCAAGTGGAGCAGGCCGCCCAGGTCACGCGCTGCGCCCCAACCAGCGACTCCTGAAGTGGTTGTGCAGGATCAGACGCAGGGAGAAAAAAACCCTAATGAGCAGATTTGCCCTTCCCTAAGGACCTCTGGACCGACCAGGTTTTAAGGCCAAAGTGAAGGGCTAGGGCGAGCAGCCAGATGGATCAAGCACATCCTGACCTGAATTAAGGTCACTCCTCGGGCGGCACAAGAGAGGAGCAAGTCGAGGAACTCGTGGAAAACTGAGCTTTATGACCTGCAAGGTGGCATCACAACATCTGCCTCCCATCTCTCGAGTTGTTATAAAAATAAAAATGGCGATGCACATCGGAGCTTTGCAAGGGAAAAATGACAGAAGACACACAGGCGTTCTCATCTGAGATTTCATATCCTTGCCGAGCTGGCTGAGCCCGCCTGGGGTGACCTGCCAGCGAGGAAGACGACGGGCGAGCTGATGGGAAGGACATGTACAGCCGGGTCCTGTCGGGATGAGAAGGTCCCCCGTCTGCCGGTCCCCAGGTGGCACATCAGGAGTCTGCCTCTGGCCTGAGCACCCTCTGGACCCCGAAACTCGCCCAGCATCTGGACAGCTGTGCCAGTGCCACATACCACTGGCGCTTCTCCAGGGGATTTTCAAAAGCAAGGGCAGCAAACTATCGTGCAGAGGCCAAGTCTGGCCATCTACCTGCTTTTTCTTTTTTAATTTTTTTCCCAAGATTTATTTATTTATGCATACAAGAACTGGGGTACAGGCCAGAGGTGTGGGGGGTGAGATGACTCACCAGAGACAGAGTGGGGAACAGAACAGGTGAATCTACTGAAATACACTGCTGAGGGGAGCAGCGGGCAAGGCAGGAGAGGTCTGCTGTGCCGTGTGGGTTGCTCCCTGGCCGGGGATCAAACACATGCTTCAGTGGCTGCGGACAGCTTCATAGGTTGCATCTTAACCCCTTAAGCCACCAGGGAGGCCCTGCTTTTTCTTTTCTTATTAATAAATTTTTCTTGGCGTAATACTGGTCTATAACATAAATTGACATCTGTGCATTCTACAGCATGATCACGCCACCAAGGTCTAGTTCCCATCCATAATGACATGGCGGACCCCTCACCCATCCATCTCTCTCTCTCTCTCTCTCTCTCTCTCTCTCTCTCACACACACACACACACACACACACACACACACATCCTCTTCCTCTCTGGTCGCCTCCCCCGCACAGCCACACAGCCTCACCTGTTCATTTACCTGTGGCATGTGGCCGCCTCCCTGCCACCAGGGGAGTCGTGAGTTATTGTGAGAGACACTGTCTGGCCCTCAAAGACTGAAATATTTACTATTTTCCTTTACAGAAATTTTTTTTTCCTGACCTTTTATCTAAGTCCCCAACAGGACCCCAGACCACACACTTCCCGTAAGACAGATCTTGAACTGAATTCTCTCCTGGGCTTGCAACATCACCGTGCAGTGTCCAGCTTCCCGCAGTGTATACAGCAACTGAAAGAACGTTCCCTTGCCCTTTGCAGCATGTGATTCTGGATACATATGAGGCTCTCTAAGCACCCCCAGTGTGACAAGATGCCCACCTCGCAGCACACGGAGAAAACACCTCTACTGAACAAAGCACCCGGTAAACCTCACGCATACTCACACGGCGTCAGTCCGACAGCACTATGAAGCTACTAACAGCACTTTGTATATTAAACAAGCAAATCCCTCACGACCATTCTGCATCTGTCATAACTATCACCGTTCTACCACGACAAATGGAAACTAAACGCAGAGGGTGGGTCAATTCACTTTCACTAATGTCGAAGCACAAATCTCTGATTTAACACGACACGTGTAAAGGAGCTACCCGCAAAAGAGGCGTCTACTGTCGAGTGGAGAGAAATAAATAAAAAACTGAACAGAGCTTTACCTCCATCTGCAAAGCTTCGGCCAAGCCCCTGATGGCAAACTTGGAGGACGAGTAGGCTGTGAACCCGAACAGCCCCAGCTGCCCTGCCTGGGAGGACACAAACACGATCCGCCCCACTCGGCGCTCCTTCATGGTGGTGATCACGGCCCGGCTGGGGTACACGCTGCCCAGGTAGTTGACGCTCATCAGTCTCTGCAGGGAAAGAAAGGCCACAAGTGTGAGCAAGACCCCAGCCCCGCTCATGGGGATTCTGCTTTCCAGACCTGAGTTCTTCCAAGGAAGCCCCGAACTGCCTGCTCTATGAATCTGAGTGACTGAATGACCACAGGCTCCCAGCAGCACCGTGATGAAGCCTATTTCGTCCTGCATTCTCTGAGGGGCCGTGGTATAGAGATGCTGAAACAGGTCAGAATCAGTTTTCTGCTGCTAAGAAGTATATGTGCATTGCAGAGAATGCTTTTTTGCAAGGCAATTTCCAAATAGTTCCAGTCCTATTTGTTCTAAGCTAAAGAAAGACCACAAAGAGACTAGCACAGCGGTTAACAGCCTTGGCTCCAGCTTTTGCTGTGACACCGATGCCTTATCGAAGACGGGTGCATTCTGAGAAAGGCATGGCTTGGACAACCTCACCCTGTGGGAATGCACACCTAGGCCACCTGGCTGATGGCGCCTGGGTCAAAAGCCTGCACATCCTGTTACTGAACAGTGCGGGCAACTGTAACACAAAGAGATCTGGGTATCGAAACAGATGGAAAAGGCCAGAAGAAAAAAAAAAAAAAGAGTATAAAAGATAAAAATGATGCACCTGTACAGGGCGCTCAACATAAATGAAGCTTATAGAACTGGGCGTTGCTGGGTGAGGGAGAGGGTGAGAAGGCCGAGGACCGGAGTGGACACTACATATTCTATAAACACTGGATACTTAGGCAACACAACTAAAAAGATTTCTTTCTTCAACAACAAATTAACCTTAGCTTACCGTAACTTCTTGTACTTGAGAAACTTCTTACTATTTAAGCCTTCTGACTCTTCTGTAATAACACACAGCTTAAAACACAAACACGTACAGCTTTACAAAAATATTTTTTGTGCATAGCCTTATAGTCTCTAAGTTCTTCCTACTAAAATTATCAGACATTATTTTACTTAATTTTCTGTGTGTTAAAAACTAAGACACCCACACACGCAGCCCAGGCCCACGCAGGGTGGGGTTAATATCACCATGTCCACCTCCACACCTCCTCCTGCGGGAGGGTCTTCTTTGGCAGTAACCTGCATGGAGGTCTCATCACCATGGAAACGAAGCCTTCTTCTGGAACACATCTGAAGGACCTGCCTGAGGCTCTTTTAGAGTCATCATGTTTTCCAGAAGCATATTCATGATGATCTTCTTGGCTAGTTCCTCTTTTTTCATCATACATTTGCTTGTACGCCATGAACATTTTAACTTTTTACTTGTACGCCATGAACATTTTAACTCTATTAAAAAAAAAAAAAACTTTTGGGGGCCTCCCTGGTGGCGCAAGGGGTTAAGCACCTCACTATGAAGCAATCCGTAGCCTCTGCAGCACAAGTTCGATCCCCAGCTGGCCAGGGAGCTACCCATATGGCGCAGCAGAGCTCTTCTGTCTTGCCCGCTGCTCCCCTCAGCAGTGTATTTCAGTCAGTCTGCCGATTCTGCTCCCCACTCTGTCTCTGGTGAATCCAATCACACCCCCACGCCTCTGGCCTGTACCCCAGTTCTTGTATGTATAAATAAATCTTTAAAAAAAAAAAAAAAACTTTTGATGTTAGGGGCCCACATTTCCAGACTTTTTAAGGGACCTGTTGAGGCCTGCAAAGGCTCTGTTAACCCCCTCGCTGTGAATTTTTCTTGGGGTTCTTTCCCTTCCCCTGCATCTGCCTTGGCTCTCGCCTTTCCCTCAGCAATGCCTTCCTGTCCCTCATCGTCTGTTCCCCAGGAACCTCCTGCAGGTGCTCCTCAATGTCCTCCTCACCCCAAGGGGTGGAAGGTGCTTGCTATCTCCGCAGGCCTTGATGATTTCTGCGTCACCCCATCCTCAGCAAACCCTTTGACGTCACGGACAAACACGTTGAGTGTCTTCTCCAGATGTTGTTCCCACACTCATTGGTGAGCTCACCCCAAGTCCAAGCTAGGATCTGGATGCACATGATGATGTCATCCTTCCGGAACTGCATCAGAGTCATCCTCAGCTGCCCAGTAGGCCGGGCAAAGGTCGTCCCAGGTCATAGGCCTTAGCAGTAGCTATCCGTCCTCAAAATGCTCATCATCACTTTCAACAAGGAAGATGAAAGTCAAAACCCCAGGGAGATGGCATCTCACACCCATGAGAATGGTGTTCATTAAAAAGACCTCCAGTAATAAGTGCTGGAGCAGATGCAAAAAAGAGGAGCTTTAACTCAGGCTGGTGGGAATGTGAACTGGAGCAGCCATCTGGCAAAGTGGTCTGGACTTACCTTAAAAAATCTAAAAATGTACAAGAATAAGCTGCAATGCACATGTAAGAACCACCCTCCCTGCCAAACCATTTCCTCTACAGGAAAACACCAATGACATAGTCTAGGTCGCTAAAAAAAATCAGGTCTCCAAGTTTGTTTGTTTTTTTTTTAATCAGACTTTATGGCACACTCTCCCTGTGCTAATTGCAGCCTCCAAGTGTTTGGGTGCCAATTGCTGGAGGCAAAAGCCAGTTCTAGCTATGCGATTTGTGCCTTCATTTTCCTTGTTCTCTCTTCCTCCCAAATGTTGAGCCCTTTGCTTGTGGATGCAAGTCCAGTCCCCATCCAGGTCTCTAAGTTTAATTCAAAGCATCGATGTTGTTGCCATTAAAGCTGATGTTTGCATTTAAAAAATAAAACTAAAAATGGATGTTTGGGGGTGTCTATCTGAGGAATATGCAACCATCTACTCTAAAATGTTTCTGCTCCATGATGCTTACAACAAGCATTAGTTACAACAGGCAGGACGTGGAAGCAACCTACGTACCCACCGACGGGGCTGGGTTAGGAAGGTGTGTCTATCCACACGAGGTGAAGTGACTCAGCTACAAGGAGAATGAGATGTGGCCATTTACGACAAGATGGCAGGAGCTGGAGGGAATGACACGGCGCAGACCAAGTCAGAAAGATGAAGACAGCTACTGGACAAGTTCACGTATCTGAGCAAGGTAAGAAATCAAAGCAGATGGAACTGATAAAGCAAAATAATTATAAACGAGCAGACACTGCAAGGGAAGCAGAGTTTCCGAGTTTAAGAGGCAGGTGGGTAAGTGGTGGAAAGAAATATTTTGAAATTAAACATTAAGATCCCAGACACTTGACACCTGGCCACTTCCCGTGAACAACGGGCCGACCGCACAGAAGCCAGGGTCACGGGGTCACCCCGCCTGATCTCCCCTAGAAACACAGGCGCAGAACAGGAGACTCTGACCTCAGCCTGACTGGGGACTGGAGCTGTGGGTTATTTCCTCTCTCCCAGTCCCACCCTTACCTGCCACCTTTTCTTCACTTGAAAGGTGCCGGATGGGTCTTTGTGTTCTCCTGAGCACCTTTGAGTCCCTGGACCCCAGAGGATTCAGTGGATGGGTGATCCTTTCCAGGGGAACTTGGGGATGGGGAAAGAGGGGGTCTCCAACAGGTCAAGCATCTACACCTTTCTCACGGTATCCTCTTATGGAGGAGGAAAGTGCTGGGTTTTCCTGATTACGTTCCATGTCACTGGCACCTACTGCAGGGTTTATATATTTTAAAAAAGCTGCCATAACTCCTTGTCCATTGGTTGAATCAAAGAGGCAGTGTTTGGAGAAACACTTCTTTCTAATTGGGATGAAGCTCACTGATAAAAAGATGTCCAAGAGCATTATCAATAATAAGCACTACTTTCCGCTCTTCTTTGCTGGCATAGCAATTCAGGAGGGCGTCTCGGAAGGAGCCGGGTCCCCACGACTTGTTACGGCTCCTGCAGTGTGCCGACAGCGGTGCTGACCGACAGGCCTGAAAGCCTCGGGGTTCACTGTACCAGATCCTTTGCAGCCTGCAGTTTTCACCTGCAGCCTGCAACATGGCGCCTGGGCAAGACTGCCCTCCTTAAAGTCTTAAAACCTGGCATTCACTTGATCTTAAGGATGGAAGTCTTTCCAGATATCTCTTTCCTTAACAGGAGGGTTTCATCCATGTTGAAGACTTGTTCTGGCAAGTAATGTCCCTCCACAATCAGTTCATTTAATTTCCCAGAATTTTTCAGGTGCCTTTCCACAGTACTACTAGCAGTGCCACTCACTCTCGTTATGCAGTAATGATTCCCGCATGGTTTAAACCACTCAAAGGTTGCATTAAATTCAACATGGCAGTTGGGTCCAGCCTTCTCTTTCAACATTGAAAACAAACTTCGTGCTTGGTGGTGGTTGTCATGGTGCTGAGGGAGGTGCTTCTGAGTCTAGGCCCACCCAGGCCATTGCAAGTTTCTGCACAGCTGACACAGGCCCTTCTTGCATTTGTGCTTGTTGCTTTGACAGAGGCAGAATCTTTAACAGCTTCCAGCCACTTTGTTCTTGTTCTAAGGGATGACAGCTCTGATGAGAAGGGACATGCTGGGCTTTGAGCCGCACCCTCACTGCTTTTCTACTCCCTAGTCCCTTATCACTTTTAACTTCACTGCCAGGTCAGTCATTCAACCTGCACTCTTACCTGCACAGCAGCACTGGATTTTGTTAGGTTTGGAGGCCACGATGACACAGGTGTTTGAGGCTGCTGGAGTCAAAAGCTCTGACCTCACGGCAGCTATGACATCACCAGGTGGCAGGGACCTGGGGACCACAGTGTCATCTTGGGGCATGTGACTGCATGACCCAGGATGATGCCAAGTGACACACTCTACTCATCTTCAGTTGAAAAGGGTTAACACTGGAGCTCGCACAAGCCTGCAGCAAGGACTGAAACAGGCGAGGCAGGAAACCCAGGCCTCTGACCCACAGCAATTCTCCACCACTGTCGGCTCTCATTTAATGATGGAGAAGAGCTTTTCAGGTGCCAAGGATGTATTTTTCCCTCGCCCTTCATGTTTTCACTTGAACATCCAAGAATCTTTAAAATGTTTATATATTAAAAATCTTGCAAAAGTATTAGCTTGATTTTCATGTAAAACAAACAATTCCTTAAGGACTTTGAGTCAACCATGAAATGTCCATGCACTAGACAGAACATTCAGTGACTTTCAGAAAGGATGATCAGAAATACTAGGAGCAACGGGGAGAAATATTTATCTGAAAATCTAGAAAAAGCAGAGAACACACTGTATTTGTACTATGGTGGAACTATTTCAAATATTAAATCAAAGTACATGTGCACAGGTGCAAAGCCAAGGAAACAGCAAATTGCAAGTGACTGGGCTAGGCTCGGCCATTTATTTTCGAAATGTCTGCTAATCTCATTGTATTCTTTTGATACTAAATAAAAATGCCCTAAAATTTTGAAAAAGGATGGCATGCCAAATGCACACGTTTACCTCAGCTCCCTGCAGAGACCCCCCTCAGTAGAGAAATCATTCCTTAAGTCAACAACCCACAAGAACAAAGAAAATAACAGCATGGACACTTTGGAAATGGAAGAACAGTGCTAATTCTCAGAAAAGCTGAATGCTTAGCAAGAGGCAGAGCAACTGAAAAGCAGGGTTAGAACTCAGAATGCCCCAAAAGCTCAAGTAGCGCCAAGAACCTCTAGGGGCAGGAGGGTGGGCTTGGGCTAACAGCAGGACTGCTGACTAAGAGTCTGTATTAAACAGAGAGACAAATCCAGTTATCATCAGAGGTTCCAATGTCCCCCTTTCAACAATTGCTAGAAAGTGTGAAGACAAAAGCAGCAAGACTGGAGCGGCGCTTCGGTCAGCAAGGTGATGGCACGCACAGGACACTCCACCCCACACAGCAGCTGTCAGGTGTGGTGGGCTGGTTACAGCACAGACCATGTTCTGGGCCGTGAAACAGATCTCAACAGAGTTACAGGGACTCAGCCCCACAAAGTATGCCAGCTCACCCCAACGGTTATTAAATTGGTAATCTATAGGAGAAAGATTTCTGGAAAGTCACCCAAATACTTGAAAATGAAACCACCCAGCTCCCAAAACCCAAGGGTTAAAGCAGAAAATAAAAAGGTGGTAAGTATTTTTAACTGGATGAAACAAAAAGAAAAGAGAAAGAAAACTTCACAAAGATGGCACAGAATGTGAAGGAGGAAGCCCCTACCCTGCCCAAAGCAGAAGCCAAAGCAAAAGCTTTAAAGGCCAAGAAAGTGGTGCTAAAAAATGTAGGAAAAAAGTCTGCATGTCACCCAGCTTCCATCACCCTCTGTCCACCACCCGCCCCTTTCAATGGTGTAAGACACTTAGACTCCAAAGGCAACCCAAGAAGCAGGCTTGACCCCTACACCATCATCAAGGTCCCTCTGGCCACTGCTTAGCCATGGAGAAGACAGAAGACAACAAACTTGTGTTCTTGGTAGAAGTCAAGGCCAACAGGCACCAGACCACACAGGTTGGAGAGAAGCTCCATGACACTCATGTGGCCAAGGTCTTCGCCCCGGTCAGACCTGAAGGCGGCGTGTTCCAGGGCTCCTGACTGGGATGCTCTGGGTGTTACCAACGCAGTCGAGAGCATGTAAACTCAGTCCAGCTGGCTCAGACTAACTGCATTTTTTCACCATTAAAAGAAAACTACAGCGACCACCATACTTACTGGTGAAAGACTGTACGCCCCTCCCTAAACTCGGGAGCAAGACAAGGATGATTGTTTTCAGCAACTCTAGTCAACACCAGACTGCAAAGTCGAGTCTGTGCAATAAGGGCCTCCAGATGGGAACGAAAGAAGCAAAACTTGCAGATGACATGGTCTGGGATGTAGAAAATCCAATGAGCAGTAGCAGATTTAACAGAGTTCAGCAAGATCCAAGGCCCCCAACTCAAATGACTTCTCTGCATGCGCCATGAGCACTGTGCGGTTAAAATGGAAAAAAAAAAAAAGACACTGGCCTCAAAAAATATGAACAAGTGAAAAAAAAGATGTGGGAGCCCCACACACTGAAAACTACACAACACTGGCTGAGAGAAACGCAAGAACAGCTAGGCAAAGGGAGACAGATGTCTGCAGAGCGCCTGCCGTCCCCATCGAAACCGTAAATACCCTCACCAACACCCACGGGAAGACACAAGACGGGGCTCCGGGAGCCGCGGAGAAAGCCATGCTACAGGAAGGGAAGGGCAGCGCGTGCTCGTGACCACGTCTACTGTGGTGAAGGGACACGGGGCGGCTCCACCAGGGCCACAGCTCCGGGTCCAAGCGCAGAGGGAGCCGGCGCCGGGCTCTCCGTGGCCTCACCCTCCTGCGGCCCGACAGGAGACGCGTGGGCCCGGCCAGGCCCTGCCGACCGCATCTTAGGCACGCGTGGACGCTGATGAAAGGAAAATAAGAAACCAATAAAAACACGTAACGGAGGGAAAATCCATTCCAGGCAGAAGCGAGGTCTTCAGGGGACCGGCCCGCAGCCTCCCGGGCGGGCGGACACGCAGATCCCAGACGGGCACGGCGGTCGGAAGGAGAGCTGAGGAGGAGCCGATGAGGAAAGGATGATTTCCCTAAACTGACGCTGCTAGTGAACTGGGAGGAGAAACCATGAGCGCTAAGACGGAAGCAGATTTATTCTCATGCCAAAGTCCGCCTTCCCCTGCCCCGGCCCTCGCTGCCAGAAACAGGGCGAGAGACAGGCTCCGGGGCGCGCCCCGCGGTGCAGAGGCGCTGGCACTGGAGCCAAGGCCACAAACTGAGACTACTTTGATTGCACACGTATGTATTCTGTTAATGAAAGAGAGGACACAGCGTGAATGGGAGACGGAAGGCTGAGAGTAAAGGGAGTTTCTTCAAGATTCCAATTACGCTTCTTCTCTGTTCTGACTTCTTCCTGCATCTCACCTGCCTGGCGTTTTCTCCTCTTAGCAATACTCACATATATTCACCTGCCGTGACATATTTACTTAGTTCCTGTGGTCTGTGCTCACAGTATATGCCCCACAAATCCCTGCTCCCCAAGGTCCTAGCTTGACAACCTTGCATTTACTGATCAGAACATGCAACCACTTGTACCTCATTCCTCTTTGTCCTCCACATTCGGTCAAGGTGAGTCTATCATCTACACACACACAGCGCTATTTTCCTGCCACCCCATTAAGTCATTTATGCATTTCATGCCTAGAATGCTACTATTTTCCCCAATTGATTCTCTACACAAATCACCTCCTTCTGTTACCTAGAGGTGGGCAGGTCAAGACGACACCCCTTTATGTCTGGTTGATAAAGGGTCTGCAGGTACGCAAGGCCCAGGTAAGTCACCATTATTCCATCGACCTCCGTACTCCCCTGGCTTGACCTTAAATTAGTGAAGGGCACTTTCCTACCATCTTCCAAAAGCAAAAAATAAACACAGGTCCAGCAGTCTCCTTTCGCACAACAGAGGCACAGCTGAACTTCACAGAGTCAAACACCAAAAGCCGTGACTACAATAAAGGACCCATCGACCGTAAAGAAACAGATGGTGGAGGCAACACCAACTGAGAAAAAGTGTTTGGTACTTAAAGATTTCAAACCAGATGCCTGTTTCTTTTTCTTTTTAATAGACACACACAATCTTTTCAAATAGTCGTACAACATCCTATTGAAGGGACACATGATAACTTACTTAACCCATCTCCTATTGAGGAGAATTACTGTTTTTATTTTGACTGTCACTGACATCTTGTACGTACAGTCATGAGCAGCTCAAGGACATTTTGACAACGACAGCCCAGGCTGCACCGTAGCCCCGGTGGCAGGTGGCTTCACTACACAGGCTTCCCACAAGATGCAACCACCCTAGGACATTTTCATTTCTTCAGGGCTGAAAAGACTCACAGCAGTTCCACAGCAAACTTGTTTAACAATATAAATACAGGGCCTCCCAGGGTGGCGCGGCGGTTGAGCGCTGGGTTGCGAGGCTGCCCGCAGCCTCTGCAGCGCCGGTTCGATCCCCGGCCACAGGCGAGGGTCCCACAGTAAATAAATAAATAAATACAATATAAATACAATTTATATTGAACAAGAAAACTCTTTGACTTTCTTAGGTTTTTTTGTTTGTTAAAAGTACTAATACTGGACACGAAAACCCAGCATCCCCTGGCTTACAAAAATCTCTCTTAAATTTATTACCTCCGCGGTATCTTACATCTCGGCTCTCTGTCAGACTGGAGAGTTCATTGCCTTTTTTTTTTAACTGATGGGCCACTGGTTCACACTGAGTGTTAGGAGTACAGCTATATACACTCACAACTATATATTCCACACCAAGCCCCCCACCAAAGGGCCTCATCAGAAAGACAAGAAAGAAGTGCCAGAGGTACCAGGTCCAAGGCCAGTGGGACCAGGTGCTCCGCCTGGCGAGCAAGTGGGGAAAGGGGAATCCTCGTTCGTTGGCGGTGGGAAGGCCGACTGGTGAGCTCTCGGTGGAAAACAGTGGGGCGGTTGCTCAAAAAATTAAAAATGGAAATACCATAGGATCCAGCAATTCCACTTCTAGAATCTGCTCAAAGAAGATGGAAGCACTAATCCAACTGATACCAGCCCCGATGGTCACTGAAGCACCACTGGCTCCCATTTTACAGCTGGGGAAATCACAGCCCAGAAGCTGGCATCAACTCCTAGGCTGACTGGCCACAGCACTGGCACCAAAACCTTATCCCATAAGCAGGTTTATAAAGCCTGTGCCCGTGGCCTTATTGTACCGCCAGTGTTATGTTCACCCAACGCACAAGAACCAACTTTTCACTTACTTCAAAACTACTAACTTCGAGGTCTTCAAATTTTCCTGAAACTGACATTCCTGCACAGTTCACAAGCATGTCCACAGGGCCCAGCTTCTCTTGTGCCTGGAAAAATTGATTACAGAAGGCATTAAGAGAGAGAGAAGAAAACTCACTCAGGCAAATGAATGCCAATCAACCAAACCTATAAAATGATCAAACTTACAGGGAAGATTTACCAACGCCAAGGCACACAGCACAATGGTTACGAACCAATCAAAAGGCAGGTGAGCTCCTTGCTGTCAGCCCAGCTCTTACCTGTTTTATGACATTCTCCACTTGGCTGTAGTCTTGCGATATATCGACTGATATGCAGAGCACCACCTGGGAGAGGGAGAACAGTGATTGAAGCCAGATAGGCGCCTAGGACTTTTATGAAAGACTTCCTTTATTTTTTTTTTTAATTAAAGGTATTGTTTCCCATGGATAAGGAATGTGAATTTGGACGTATAGATTAGTTTTAAAAATCTGAGGACAGAGCAATTAGTAGAGTCATTTTTCGACAGTTTTCACAGGAAGCTCCTTTAAGCCAAGTCAAGGGAGTGTTTTAAGAAATGCTGATCAGGGCCTCCCCAGTGGCGCAGCGGTTGAGCGCTGGGTTGAGAAGCTGCCCGCGGCCTCTGCAGTGCCGGTTTGATCCCCGGCTGCTCCCCGGCCACCGGAAGAGGGTCCCGCAAGGCGCGCAGACCTCTCCTGCCGCCCGCTGCTCCCCTCAGCAGTGTGCTTCGGTCCTTCTGCCTGCTCTGCTCCCCGCTCTGGCTCTGGTGAATTCTTTCACCTTCCCATGCTTCTGACTGTACCCAGCGCTTGTCTAAATAAATAAATAAATAAATAGATAAATAAATAAAATAAATAAATAAATAAATCTTAAAAAAAGAAATGCTGATCAAAGGGTAGAAACTTTCAGGTGTAAGATGAGTATATTCTGGGGATCGAAGTGTCCAGCATGGTGACTGTCATCAATAATACCGCACTGTATACTTGAAATTTGTGAAAGGAGTTACCTAGGATCCACCTAAGTGTTTTCCACACCAAACAGAAATGGTTACTAGGTGGGGCGATGAGTATGCTGATCACCTGACTGTGGCAAGCATCCCCAATGCATATATACACTAACCCATCACACTGTACAGCCGAAATACATGTAATTGCCATTTGTCAATTACACCTCCATAAAGCTGCAAAAATGCTCCTTCTGAAATGTCCCTGATCTGTAAGGGCATAAAGAAGATCAAGGATCGTGAGCAGCCGGGGAGAGGGAAGGATGGACTGAGGGGGGCAAAGGCTCCCTGGGGTGATGGAAAAGTTGCTTCTGGATTTTGGTGGTGGTTTCACCATCTCACATATGTCAGAGCCACTGAACTGTAATCTTTAAATGGCTCTGGTTTCCTGCACATAAATTACATCTCAAGTTGTTCAAAAGAATACTTAAATTACATAAAGAACAGACCGATTAGAGCTCAGCTTTGCTAATGCATAAATTCAGCTGTTAAAAAGAATAACAACAAACCTAATAAACACAATTAAAAACTACTCCCCATGGTGTCACGGCAGAGCCGTGACTGTCCTCCCGAGAGTCAGTATCAGTGAGCTAGTGGAGCGGCAAGATAAGCCGGCAGCAGGACTGGCAGAGGAGGCCCCAGGGAGGGCCTCTGCCCTGAGCCAGGTGTGACAGTATCTCACCAGGCCAAGGGGTAATCTTAGATGGGAGCTGAGCCATCAGCCAAGTCACATTCGGATCTCTCTGAGGTTTACCTGTCGTCCCCAATTCTGGACCGAGAGGCCACTCACTGATTCTCCAGATGAGGGGTCACAAGTCCAGCCCAGAGCCCAGCCAGCAGGCACCTGGCCAAGGTCAGGGGTTCACAGCACAGAGCAGGTGGCGTCGAGGCCACAGCCTGTGCTTCACCCCCCAAAACAACTGCATTTAGTCTTGGAAAAGAAAAAAGGAAGGGAAGAAGAAAAAAATGGGGGAAAGCACCTATTTGGGGGCTTAATTTGAGAGATATTTATGAAACAGAACAGTATTATCTTAAAGTTCCTTTTTGGGGTATTGCTCCTAAATCCAGGGCTTGGGCCTCTGACAGAGGAATGTTCTACGTTCCAAGAGAAGCTGCTGAGAGAAAGAGAAAGGTCTTCTCCATTTCTCTGTCTTTCCACCAATTCTGCCCTCCTGGGGCTGGCCCCCAAGTGATGGGGCAGGATGTGTGTATACGAAGCCACGTGAGAAATGAAGCCACAGCATGTGAGGTCAGAGGTTACATAAAAAGATCCCACTGCAGGGCCTCCCTCGTGCGCAGCGGTTGAGCGCTGGGTTGCGAAGCTGCCCTCAGCCTCTGCAGTGCCGGTTCGATCCCCGGCAGCTCCCCGGCCACCGGAGGAGGGTCCCACATGGCGCGCAGACCTCTCCTGCCGCCCGCTGCTCCCCTCAGCAGTGTACTTCGGTCCTTCTGCCTGCTCTGCTCCCCGCTCTGGCTCTGGTGAATTCTCTCACCCTCCTGCGCTTCTGACTGTACCCAGTGCTTGTATAAATATATAAATTAATTTAATAAATCTTTAAAAAAAAAAAAAAAAGATCCCACTGCCCAGAAATTGATGCACAGGGCAGGACGCGTTATCTGAGGCAAGAAGGAAGCCCATGCAAAAGACTGACATTCCTGTGAAATAGAAACCACCCATTCGAACATAACCTGACATTGTCCAGGGTAGGCAGGTTACCTGGGGTTTCCTCCCCACCTCATCAGACAGAAAACATTTTTCAAAGGGAGTAGGAATGACAGGATTCATTTCTGAACATGCCTTTGTATAAAGCAATAAATCATTTACTGTAAATAAAATCTATACCAGGGACAAGCGAAATTTCAAACAAGTCAACACATTACCAGGAAAAAAATGCCACAGGGTTCTGCTCACATGATCCTGGAACCAGCAGGATCAAGCTCCCTCTTGCCCAGCCCCAGCCCAGATTATCTTCCCCTCCCGAGATGCAGATGAAGTTAAGAACTTCCCCCAGGACCTAAAGCCTTTTGCTAGACAAGAGGGGACTGGGGGTTGGGGGTGACGATGGAGGCCAGATGAAATGGAGCTGGTGGCGCGGAACAAAGGATTCAGCCACGGGCATTCAGGCACTGTGGTTCAGACCTTAAGTTACACACACTGGCAGCTTCCCAGTGTTTGTGGATTTCAGAGAACTGAAAGCGTGGCAGAGGCCGTGGTACCAGAGAAAAACTCCCATATGCATGCCAGCAAATGCATGGAGCTGCGCCCTGCAGCACAGAATCAACAGCCACAACTGGAAACTGATGAAGACACTCAGGCGCCAACAGGAACGTAGAACATTTCTCTGTCAGAGGCCCAAACCCTGGATTTAGGAGCAATACCCAGCAGCTTAACACAATGAGGCAGATGTATTTTTATTGACTGGGAAACATCCCTGACATAATCCAGAGAGGAGGGAAAGGAGGCAATTTAAACTATGATGAAAAGCTCTTTAAAACCCAAAGGAAAGGTAAAAATTAGAAAGTCTGCCAATACCAAGTGCTGGCAAGAATGTGGGGGTAACCCAAGTCAAAGTGAGTACCCACTTTGATGAGATGGGAGTTTGGGGTACCCTCACCTCAGATTTTCGCTTTCTGGGATATTATTCCCTTCTTGCCCATGGGCACAGAGACAAGATTTACTAACAGCAAATAAAATAAAATAAAATAAAATAAAATAAAATAAAATAAAATAAAAAGACAAAACAATGAAAACAAAAACCCAAAACTACCTGTGTCCACTTACAATAGAATTGATGAGCAAGAGGAAGTCTATACACATAAGAAAATTCTATGTAGCAGTAAAAAACATAAACTTTATGCAGCAACATGGTGGAATTCTTTTTTTTAATAATTTTTTTTTAAAAATAAATCTTTATTTTTTTTTCAAAGATTTATTTATTTATACAAGCACTGGGTACAGTCAGAAGCGCGGGAGGGTGAGAGAATTCACCAGCGCCAGAGCGGGGAGCAGAGCAGGCAGAAGGACCGAAGCACACTGCTGAGGGGAGCAGCGGGCGGCAGGAGAGGTCTGCGCGCCATGCGGGACCCTCCTCCGGTGGCTGGGGAGCAGCCGGGGATCGAACCGGCGCTGCAGAGGCTGCGGGCAGCTTTGCAACCCAGTGCTCAACCGCTGCGTCACCGGGGAGGCCCGCATGGTGGAATTTTTAAAGAGAGTAAAGAAATCAAGTTGCAGATGAAGGGACAGAGAACTAGACACGGGAGTGGATGGGGGGCTGGGAGCGGAGGGGAGAGGGTGGGGTAAGGGAGGAACTGCCGTTGGCTGTGAACACCCTTTATGAGATGATGAAAATGTTTTAAAACTGATTCTGGGGAGAGCCGTGCAACTCTGGATATACTGAAAACCACTGAACTGTACACTTGAAATAGGTCCACTGGGTGGAATCTGAATTTTATCTCAATAAAGCTGTCCAAAAAAATGATGGCATAAAATTCAAAAAGCAGCAGAAGTAGACAATACAGGAGTTGGGGCTGCATGCATATTTACAGTCAAATTATAAAGAAAAGCAGAAAAATCAGCCTGGGGGCTGTCTCTCGGGTGAGACATGAGATGGGGCTAATGGGGCTCACAGAGGGGGCTCTGGGGACCTGGGGAAAGCCACTGCTTAAGCTGGGTGATAAGTGTGCAAATATTAATTTGTTATTATGCTTTGTACTGAAATACACATTAAATATATATACCATTTTATTCATCAAAAACTTCTATAACCAAAAAAAGAGTTTAATACTGCACTCCCTTGAGTATTTGCATGAAATTAATTTAAATAAATCAGTAAAGCCATTTTCTACTAAAGCAGAAATTTAATTTAGATTTAATTTTAATTTTAATTTAAATAAATCAGTAAAGCCATTTTCTACTCTGTTATTTGATCACTTGTGTGTGGTCTATATATGTAATTTTGTAATAACCTGGACTCCTAGACAATTCAAACCATTTCACCATTTTGAAAACAGTCTAATATGTATTGTAATTAGGAAAATCCTACATGCTTTCAATGAAGGATTCATAGCGGAAGTACTCTTGCTTCCTTGATACAAATACTCTGATTAGTAAGGAAAATATTTTCTGAAAAGACAGTGACTTTACCTGTTTGTCATTAATAGAGTGTTTCTCAATTTCTTTCTTTGCCTGCAGCAGCTTCTCCTAAAAGCAACAGGGAACAATTAGTTCTGGGGATTGTCTATCTGAAGGCTTGTTTGTTTAAAAAGGTAAGAGAAACAATTATTTGCATAAGTATTTATTAAATTCTAAAAACACACAAGACAGCATCTGTATTGCATAGCTGTGGGCCACAGTCTCTGAGAGAAGTTTTAAAGCATGTTAAGTTATGACTAAGAGGAGGCAAATTTTTAAATCCAGTGCAGAGAAAGAAAATGGGAAACTAAATGAACTTCAGATTCTAACCACTAGTACTAATTGCTCGTGATCACATTTTCAATTCTTTTTGGTTTTCTCTTTTTGGTTACTTTTTACTTCTTTACCTTTTCTGTATTTTTTCTTTATTGTTTTTCCCCTATACCTCATCAGCTCTCATAAATGCTTTGATCGGATATTTGACTATAATACAAAACAACAGTCATACGAACATGCAATGCTTCCCAAACTTAAAGGCACATGGGATTCCACGCCCAGAACGCTTTTGATAGAATTCTGCAGACATTTCCTCCTCTACTGTAAAAGCAAATCTAGTAGAAATCACTGTTCAGGTGGACTGGGTAAACCTGGGCCTGACTATTTCCAATAATTAAGACGAGTAAACCCTCCCAGTAATTGAATAATTCCTCCCAGGTCTCAATTTTGCTTGTTTTACTCATTCTGAATGTCTTGATTCACTATAAAAGTTGTAATTTAAATACTTCCTAATGGCAGAAAGCAGAGCGAGTGGGGAAGGATGGAATCCCCCTGGGAGATGGGTCAGTTTTCCAAACAAGAATGTGTCTGTAACAAAATAACACTATTTTTAGTAGCAGACTCGCAACTTGACTTTGTCAAAATGGGAACTAAAACCTTCTATTAGAAAATAAAGGATTTTCTGAGGCCTGAGGCTCGTACGTTCACACACCTGCAGTCACACAAGGACCACAGAATGAGACATCGCGCAGCTGGGACCCTCCCCAGACTCTGTGATCTGTCTCATGGCAAATATGGGCAACGCTTCAATCACACAGGTGCCATTTTCCTGAAGTTGTGTTGTCGATCACATAAGGTGACTGCAATGCCAAAGCAAGTTTGTCACTGGAGAAGCCGGGGTGTAAAGGATACTAAGCAAATCCTGCCTTTCTTGATTTTTAAAAGAAACTAAGGCCATCCAAAGCCAACTCTGTGTCATTATTGAAGCACTTGCTCCCTGCCTCCCACCCCCCAAGACTTCCAGAGACTGCCTTTCCCGCCAGAGCCTGTTAAAACTGTGGGACCCCCAGGCCATTCCCCACACTAATGCCTTCTCTTGCACAGGTGAGTCCCCACTCCCCCAGCGATGATGCCCACATGAAAACAACTTCAGCCATAACATACTCTGAAACACAAGACAAAACATCTTGTGTTGACGGGACACAGAAAAACACATTTTGCAAAACTCTGGAGAGAATGGATTCCTCTCGGGGGTCCAGGTTTCACTGAGACATGTATCTCATCATAAGCAAGTTCCAGCAAAACACCTACACGTCCTGCAGGGTAGGTATCCTGCCACCCACCTCTGCCGGCACCTGGCAGTGGAGGCCCCTCCCCAGCTGCCCACAGTCAGGTGAGCAACTTAACTCTGTCTTCACCAATCCCACCAAGAGTTGCAGGGTCTACATGCCACCTAGGAGTCGCTGGCACTAAATATATATTTGCAGAGCTGACCTGACTTCCAAAGAAGTCTTTGCCTTGATTGTGAGAAATAAGCAGTGAGTGGTTGGGGAACTGCACCCCTAAACCAGAGAGGTGAGCCACTTCCAGCACAGGTACGGAAGCTCGGCCCTGTTGGGGAGTCTGGACCGTGTCTCTGAACAGGTTAAGCGCGCGAGCGAGCGGCCACGTGCCAAGGACTTACCTCGTTGCGCGCCACCAGAGTGATGAACGCGCCCTGTCTGTAGCACTCGATGGCGATGCACTTGCCGATGCCGCTGGAGCCTCCTGTGACCTGAACACGAACACAAGAGAATCGTCTGGCTCGAGGTGTCCCTGCTCTGCGAAGGAAGTTTGCTTCCCCTACAAGCCCACCCACAAGAGCTGCATTTTCAGCTACAAGCACCCGCTTCTCCATGCCAGAGGACCACGGAAAACCACAAATGCCAACGATTATGCCCCGGCTGGGCCTGCTGCTCAGGCTGTTTTCAGACTGAACAAGAAACTGCACTAATATTTTTCTTAGTTCGTGGGGAGGGAAGTGCCCTATCAATCTGGCTGAAAACTAATACATTGGTCAACCTCTGAGTGAAAATCCAAACACGTCTTATTTCCTTGCTGCACACCTCTTATGCACGACCAGCTCTACAAGAGATGAAAAGTCACCAGCATCTACCTTGATATTTTATTTTAAATCACTGCTTATTATAAAAGGAACATCAGAGCCCACGGAAACGCCACAGAGCAAAGCTTCTCTTCATGCCCTCTTCTGTCCCTCCCCAGCAATAGCTCACATACCCAGAGATGCACACCTGGCATCTCTGGGTTACACACTCCCTCCAACCTCAGCCCCTCCAACCTTTTGTACATTCTACTTGCCCTGCCAGGAGCACCTGGTCCCCTCTTTTCATCGAGCTGGTGCCTACTCACCCACTAACTCTGACCAGCACTTCCTCAGGGAAATCTTGACCACCTCTGTCCCCCTATCAACCCACTTTTCAGCCCTGCATCCTTTCATTCTCTATTGGATGGCATTCACCTAATCAAACCACCATGCACTTATCTGCGAGCTGATAGGATTTACAACCATCCTATCACTGCCCCACAAAGTCCATAAAAACACCAACTCTATTTTTGCTTCCCACTCTATTCCTAGCACTTAGCACAGTGTCTGGCATACAGGAAAGACTCAACATATGTTTAATTTAGTAAGACAAATGCAACATTATCTTTCTAGTCATTTTTTTAAAAATATTTATTTATGCATACAAGAGCTGGGGTACAGGCTAGAGATGCGGGGGGGTGAGAGGATCCACCAGAGACAGAGTGGGGAACAGAACAGGCAGAATGAGTGAAATACACTGCTGAGGGGAGCAGCGGGCGAGACAGGAGAGGTCTGCTGCACCATATGGATTGCTCCCTGGCCAGCCAGGGATTGAACTCGTGATGCAGAGGCCTCAGATTGCTTCATAGTGCAGTGCATAAGCCCCTGCGCCACTAGGGAGGCCCTCTTTCTAGTCATTTTCCCTAAGCAAATTATATAACATGGGGTGGGAACCCAGGGGAAGGGCTTGTGGAATTGTGGGAGAGATATCCATCCTTCAGTGGTAATATATACTACTTATAAAAATGGTACCATAATGTGTTATGTCAAAAAACTAGAAGACTTTGCAATAGTGCATTAAACAGCTACACCAAAACTTAGTGAAACATTTCCCTATAGTCGTTTAGATTATGCTAAATATTTTACGGACTATAAATCATTGTGTAATGAACATCTCTGACCCATGCCATGGTTTTAAGATCATCATGATCTATTTCCTTTTGTGCAAATAACTGGGGTGTAGGCCAGAGGCGGGGGTGGGGGTGAGAGGATTCACCAGAGACAGAGTGGGAAGCAGAACAGACGGATCTACTGAAATACACTCCGGAGCAACAGGCAAGACAGGAGAGGTCTGCTGCACCATGTGGGTCAGCTCCCTGGCCGGGGATGGAACTCAGGCGGTAGCACTGACAGGGCTGAGACTTAACCCCTAGGCCACCAGGAAGGCCCCAAGATCATCATGAGCTTTAAGATTGGTGTATAGTGTATCAATCTCCAGGGAACGCTGAGGTATCCAATTTCTCTTTATCTTTAAGGTCCCACCCTTGAATAAAAGTCTTTGGTTGATAATTAACCAATTATCTACAGAAAGTTACTCTAAGAACATACCAGTTGCCTAGGTGAACAGCTGCCATGGAAGAGGTCTTTTTATCTGGATAGCTCACAAATTGAGTAGATTTATTAATTTCCACCAGATATTCCAATTCCATAGCAATAAGCTGGACCCCTCAAAATGCCCCTGGTTATTTCATGATCTTGTTCCTGCTGCCTAGATGTCCCCACACCTCCATTGCATGCGCATTTCCAAGTCCTACCTGTACGACAGAGGCCAATTCCAAAGTCTCCTCTGTCAAAAAGCTTCTCCTGACTCCATCACTCAGTTCTGTCCTTTCCATGTCACCCTCCAGCCAGTGCGTGCAATAGCTCCCCTGCTGAGCCTAAGTTCTTTGAGAATGAGTATCAAGCTCAACATACCGCACTCATTTCCAGCACAGTACCTTGCATTAAGTAGTAGCTACATAAACATTTTCCTTTATTAGTTTGCAAAATGGTGGATGATGCCATCTCTCCAAAAAAAATATGATGCCAAAATAAAAAAAGCTTCCAAGTAAAATTCCCCATTTGTATTAATGGAAGCGAAAGTTGTGAAGTTAATGTGAAAACTTGTATGTTCTGAAGTGCTGTGTAGCTAAAGTAGCTACTGTTATTACTGCTATATTTTTCCTATACTTTGGTAAGCCAGCTGTGTAAATTACTGCTCAGCAAAGAACAAGGTCCAACCCAAGCACTTATAAACTGTGTCCCTAAGAATAAGAGTAAGACTTCAACTGTGAGTCCCTGGTTCCCAGAAAACTAGCCTTCCAGTCAATTCAACTAATTCTCAGGACTCTAAGAATATTTTAAGTCAATTTTAGGCTATGTTATTCTTGAATGTTATAAGAAAATATAACAGGTTTTCACAATGACCTGATAATTCATACACTGCACCTAAACTGGGAACACTAAAGACAACAGGTTAATTTCTTATCTTTATCACTCCCTCCTCCTGTTCACTGCCAACATTGTTTACAGGTTAATATCTCCTTAATCACATCACACACCTCTCACGGAAGGCAAGAGAGTGGGGCTGGCTTGTAGCAACGAGAACAGCTCCCAGCCACCTCCAAAAGGGAAGGACTTGATTTTCCAGTCTCATCAAGTTCATCAGTTTTTTTTTTTTTTTAAAAAGCTAATTTATGTAAGAATACACCCTGTTAGACTTGATGCACAGTTTTACCACTGTGATTACGGAGCTAACACTAGATTTGTTCCTTAAAAGAAAAAAAAAGGAATGCTGCTCATGCTTCCACATAAACAGATAATCTAAACCACAGCGCTCGCTCCCCACATCACCATTCAGCTCTAAGAAAATCTCAAGATAGGTGATTACACCTTCACTCCTCTTACATTAAAAAAGCAGACAGAGAGTGACATCATGTGAATTATTCATGTCACCCTCACATTATTTATAGTGGTGTATTAAAACGGGGTGCTGAAAACAAGGCGTTCTTGGTCGATGGCAGCAGACCTGTTTTATTATTATCTCACCGATGGCTGCAGCATGATGGGGAGGAAGATGCGCTTAAGTAAAACTCCCCTGGAAATACGGAATCAAAATGTTCACGACATCATTTCCCAAGTTATGCTCTGCAACCATAAATGCTGCAAGAATCTGACTTTCAGAGCCAGGGTTTGGTGGCAGAAGTTCACTTACCAATGTGACACTTTCAGAATTTAGCCTGATGGTAAAGAGTAGCTTCTCCCTCTCTTTGTAAAGGAGTTTGCACTCACTGACTTGTCTGCCTTCCACAGCAGGAACAGCAGGAGTCGGAAACAGAGTGAGTCCTACAAAGCAGCTATTAAAGAAAGAACGCTTTGGCACTGACCACCTGTCGTCCAGAAGCTCACCAAGAGAAAGGCCCACCCTCCCCTGTCACAGCTCGCGGGAGGCTCGGACCCCAGCAATGATGGGGTCCCCTGGAGGATGTGTGCAACCAAGTGCAAAACTGACTCTACCTAGAACCTCAGTGTGCCCCAGAGTTGTGCGTCCAGCTGGGCACAGAGGAGGGGAGCAGGAGTCCCCGCACAGGCTGAAGATGGGGCGCAGGTAAGGACCGTGCGCTCCGGCTCCAGAAAGGGCAGTTTTGAGACAGGACCTTCCGGCAAGAACAGCACAGCCGTCCCTTCCCTCCCTCCCCTCGCCCCGGGGCTCCAGCCAGGCGCCGACAGGCTGGCCAAGGGCTGCTCCGAAAGGCCACCAGCCGGGCTCAGGCCGAGCTCAGCGCGCCCAGGAGCAGACCAGGCAGACGCGCCCCCAGCCGCGAGGCAGGGCTACTCGGGGTTCGGCGCAATTCCCCCCAGGGGGGCCCTTCCCGGGTCCTGGGCAGCTGCTCCCTCGGCCACCGCAGGGGTCACCGCGGCGGGTCCCGGGGCCCCGGCCCTCCCCGGCCCCCCGCGCCCCGCCGGCCCCCCCCGCGGCGTCCTCGGCGCAGAAGTTCCCCGGCCTCTCGGCTCCCGGGGCGCCTCCTCGGGAAGACGCGGCGCCCGAACCTCCCGGCGCCGGCGAGGCCCGGTCCCCCGCGGCCCGGCGGAGCCCCTGGCGGCGGCGGCGGGTGCCCGCGGCCTCGGGGGGCGCCGGCCAGGACGCGGCCGGGGGACCCTCCCGGGCGCCGGGGCGCGCGGCCGGCGGGCGGGCGGCGGGGGCGGGGGCGCAGCAACAGGAGGCCACTCACCACCACATGCGCGCCGGGCAGCGCGAGCGGCTTGGGGCTGATGAGCGGCGACACCATGTAGAGCAGCAGCACGAACGCCACGAGGAGGGCGGCCGCCAGCAGCAGCATCGCGGGGGCCCCGCGGGCGGCGGCGCGGGCTCGGGCGCGCGGGGCTCGGCGGCGGCGCGGGGCGGTCACGCGCGGAGCGGGGCTGCTGGGGCCGCGGGCGGGGCGCGGCGAGGGGAAGAGGCGGAGCCGGGAGGGCGCGGGGCGGGCGGCGCTTCCAGGGCGCGGGGCCGGGCGGCGCTTCCAGGGCGCGGGGCCGGGCGGGGCTTCCAGGGCGCGGGGCCGGGCGCGCGGGGCCGGGCGGGGCTTCCAGGGCGCGGGGCCGGGCGGGGCTTCCAGGGCGCGGGGCCGGGCGCGCGGGGCGGGCGGGGCTTCCAGGGCGCGCGGGGCGGGCGGCGCTTCCAGGGCGCGGGGCCGGGCGGGGCTTCCAGGGCGCGGGGCCGGGCGGGGCCTCCAGGGCGCGGGGCCGGGCGCGCGGGGCCGGGCGGGGCTTCCAGGGCGCGGGGCCGGGCGCGCGGGGCCGGGCGGGGCTTCCAGGGCGCGGGGCGGGGCGCGCGGGGCGGGGCTCTGCAGCCTCCTCCCGGGCGCTGGGGCTCCCCTATCGCGCCGCAGGTGGGCCCGGGCGAGGCCCGTGACGCCCCCGGCGGCGGCTCGGGTGCTGCCCAGGCCCGCGGGGAGCACGAACCCCCCCCAACCCCGGGCCCCGGGCCGCGCGTGGGGTCGGAGCCGCCGGCGACTCGGGGTCCCGCCCCCTTCCCGGCCGCGGCGCGCTGGGCAGCCTGAGCGCCGGCCTCGGACCGCCCCGAAGCCCTGCGCTCCCGGCTCCATTTCATATTTTCTTGGCCTGCTTAGAAAATGGGCACGGCCCGCATTCGCCTTTCGGGGGACCAGGGGCGCTTTAACAAGGGGTTTTGTACTGTTTTGTTTTTTAATCCCTTCGAGAATTCAGATTCGTGGCGCGCCAAGTTCACCTTTTTTACCCAGGCGGGGTTAGAAACAGGTGTGTTGAGATCCACTTTCCTCGCCGGGCATGTCACGGCCTTGACATGCTGATAGGTGCGTTTTGGCACAGCCCGTGTGACCCTCTCCACGATCAGTGATAGGCGTGAATACATTTTAATACACGCCCCCCCCTCAGGAAAATCAGGTTCCCTATTAACTCTGCCTACCCATGTCCTCCCAAACCCTGCCCCACGCTAGGCGATCACTGATCTTTCTGTCCCTGCAGATCTGTCTATTCTAGGTATTTAATATATTACATGCAATATGTGGTCGCGGATCTGGCTTCTTTGATTTAGCTTTTTTTTACCCCCACAGGCTCATCCATGTCTACACGATAGCAGAACTTCAGACCTTTTATCCCAGACCTTTTATCCATTCCATTGTGTGGCTATGACACATTTGATGCTTCCGTTCATCATCTGGTGGCTGTTAGGTTATTTCCACATTCTGGCCATTAGAATAATGCCTCTGGGATCCTTCCTGTACAAGTGTGGGGGTGTGTTTTCATTTCTTTCTAGTAAACACGTAGGAGTAGGAGGGCTGGCTCTCACGTAATTTTGTATTTAACCATAGCTACCTGCCTCTGCCAAAGTAGCTGTGCCAGTTTATGTTTCCACCAACAATAGGAACGTAAGTTTCTCCACCTCTTCACCAACACTTATTATCATCCACTTTTTTTTGATTATGTATTATCAATTTTCCTGGAGATGGCATTCATCTATGTGGGCAATGAATTGAGCCTATATACTGAAGCCCTAATAAAAATTCTGAACACACATGAGCTGCCCTGATTGGCAATACTTCTATGCCTACTGTCCTGGGGGATGCGAAATCACATTTTCCTGTGGTTTTGATTTAAGGCACATACTTTTGTTTGCTTGCTTGCTTTTCATTTTTGTTGTTTTTAGAAATTCTAAGACGCTCAGAAATAAAGGACTTGACCTGAGTTATTCTTCTTTCTTCACTTGTTGCCCAGAGCTAGCCAAATTGCAAGGTTCAAGGGCACAGCCCCCAAGATTTTTGACCCAGTTGCAATTTTGAGAGGTTTCCAAACCACCCTCAGGTGGACAATCCATTGGAAGGACTCATACAATTCGTGGAGTGTTGAACTCATGGTTATGGTTTATTACAGGGGAAGGATACAGATAAGGTCAGTCACAGGAAGAGGAACATAAGGCATTCTGGAGGCTATCAAGAGCAAAGCTTGTGTCCTCATTTCCATGGTGACAGATGTGTGACACCCCTCCTGCTCCCCGGCATTGATGAGTGACAGTAGGCATAGAAGTATTGCCAATCAGGGCAGCTCATGTGTGTTCAGAATTTTTATTAGGGCTTCAGTATATAGGCTCAATTCATTGCCCACATAGATGAATGCCATCTCCAGGAAAATTGATAATACATGATACAACACTTCCACTTAATTCACATGGTTATCCCCCACCCTAAAACCCACTTTGGCGATCCCTTATCTAAACAAAGACTATGAGATATGACAGAGGTTACCCTCTTCCCCCACAAGTCAAAGCCAAAGGCCAGACCTTCTCTTTGGAGAAGATCAAATTCCTTACAATCCAAATCACCACCTGGCCTTTGATTAAAGCTCTCCTACAGCAAAGCAAAAATGCCCAACATCTGGAGGAGGCAGTGTGGAATCAGATGGAGGCTTTTAGATCAATTACCCAGTCGATTCAATTATTGTATAATATTAATATAAGTATTGCAATATTGATGATGAGACAATAGCAGTATTATACCACACTGTAGTATGTGTAGTAAACATGATCTGATATGTTCACTGGGAAATATAAGTATTTTACCAGATTGTAAAGAGCAGAGTAAACACAACCTGAAAAATAAGGGACAAGAGATAGTGGCACAATATCAGAGTTCCGTGTACAGGGGAGGGAACGTGGACACACAAGCATTGAACTTTTTCTACTGTTAGGCAAAACTATTAATAGGTAGGGGATGTTTTGCCCAGACACAAAACCCATCCCCATAGTAGATTCACCACTTCACACAGAGATGCAACCACTTCAGAGTCTGTTCAAACATTCCAACTGACATGCAAATTTTGTCCTTAATTCCATCAACCATTGCAGCACCTATGCTACCAGCTAAACAGTCCCTGTCAGTTCTTTGCCAACAAGTTTGGGAACCACAGTGTATGTGTATGGGCGTCCCAGTAATGTCTGTTCTCCATCCCTCTCCATTTTCCCTCCTCATCTGCATATGGCCATGGGTACCTGGAGTTTGGGCCAAGAGACCCAAGTACTGCTTTTAGTCTTTAGCTGGATTAGATTCCAGAATCATCTCCCCAATTGATTGACCATTGTATTTCTCTTTGTCATCTTTGCCTTGTTCCTTTTTATACTGGAATCAATAAAGCAGACGTATTTAGGGTCCTTCAATGTTGGGGAAACAGCATGGGCTTCCACTGGTTGCTGTAAGGACACCATCACTCTCTGCCTTATTCATCCTGTTTTTTTTATGTCCAGACCAAGATTTCTACCCATTCCTCTTTCCTTGCCTTTTGCCACTTCCCTTGGAAATCAGGCTGTGAATTTTCTTTGCTACTGTTTTAGCATAACTTTTCCCTTTGGATGTAGCACTGAGGTTAGGAGCTATTGCTCAAACCAGCCAGGATCCATGCTTGACCCAGCCTCAGGAGCTGCGAACTCTCTCCCTTACTTTCATTTTAGCTATCATAGATATCAATATCAAGTAATCACATATCCGGCTTTTTCTTGGTACTTTGAATTTATTTTGGCATTGAATAAGCCAACTCCCCAGGAGTTAGAGCTATCAATTTTAATTCCTTTGGTAAATCTTGTGTATCATGCTCTTGTATAATAAATAAGCTCTGTGATCAATGGGGGTTTGTTCCAGAGATGCCAGACTAGTTCAATATTTGAAATTCAGTAAGTATAACCCACCATATTAGCAGGCCAAAGCAGATAAAACACATCAGCATATTACTCAATTCAGAAAAAGTATTTGGCAAAATATGACACCTATTCATAATTACCATACTTAGAAAAATAGGAATAGAAGGAAACTTCCTCGACTTGATAAAGGACTACTACCCCCCCAAAAAAATGCAGCAAACATTATACTTGATGGTGGAGGTTGAATAATTTTACCCTAAGACAGAACTAAGGCCCATGCCTGTTTTCACCACTCTTATTCTACATGTACTAAAGTCTATCCAGCACAATAAGGCAAGAAAAGAAACAAAATTATACAGATTAAATAAGCATAAATAAAACAGTTCTTATCTGCAGATAATATGATTGATAAATATAGACAACCCTGGGAGTCTATAAAAAAAAAAAAAAACCCTTTGAAAACAAGTGAGCAGATTGCAGGACCCAAGGTAAACATATAAAAATAAAATGCATTTCTATACAGTTGCCATGAACTTGTGGATATGGAAATTAAAACTATAATCTAAAGTATAATTGCTCAAAAAAAATATTTAAGTGCAAATCTAACAGAAGTAGTACAGAATCTGTATGCAGAAAACTACACAATGCTGATGAAAGAAATAGTAAGTCTCGGGCCTCCCTGGTGGCACAAGAGTTAAGATGCAACCTATGAAACTATCTGCAGCCCCAGCCAGGGAGCTACCCACATGGCACAGCAGACCTCTCCTGACTCACCTGCTGCTCCCTCAGCAGTATATTTCAGTCAATCTGCCTGTTCTGTTCCCCACTCTCTCTGGTGAATCCTCTCAACCCCCCTACACTTCTGGCCTATACCCCGCTCCTGTATGCATAAATAAATAAATCTTAAAAAAATAAAAATAAAAAATAAAAAACTTTGGAAACCTATATAGTCACAAGCAAAAGGATGACGTTTGACCCTTGTCTCATACCATACATAAAAATCAAGTCAAAATGGATTAAAGACTTAAACAATACCTGAAACCACAAAACTCAGAGAGGATAACACAGGGGAAAAGCCATGTGCCACTGTTCTTCACAGTGATTTTTTTGGACCTGACACTAAAAGCATAGACAATAGAAACTAAAAATAATAAATGGGATGACATCAATCTGAAATACCAT